GGGAGGATCCTTGCGGTTTTGCGCCCCAGCTCTGGAAGTCCATGGTAATCTCCAATGGCCGGATGTGGATGTGATGGTTTTCCTTGCAAACGGTCCAGGGAACATCAGATAACTAGGTGGTGCTTTGAGATATTGCTATTTGCAACCTTTTACTTGAGATGATTGAACCCACTGACAAATATGTTTAACGTGGGCTAAAACCACCAACCAAATAACTTTCAGGCAATGTTGAGTTATCTCCTTTCCAGTTGAAGTTGAAGTGATGGTTTTGTAGCTGCTACAAGTATATTCACCCCTGCATCGACTCCCCCAAAAGACCATAGAACCTTCAGCGTTTCGCCACTACCACCGCGCTTCTTTTCCATCCCAACATTCCATGATTGATGTTTCCCAAGACCAAACACGTGCGCAGGCACATGTTCTTGTAATCCCTACCGTACCAAAATTGAGCGGCAGAATGCCCCAGCGTTCGAAAAACGGCTTCGTTTTCGATCCAGAGGGCCTCCTGCTTCAGGGGGGGTTTCCCCCTCGGGAGAAACGTCGGTTCAGCTGGTATGAGGTTTGCCTACTGGGTGATCACATCCAGCATCCATCCCATCCGCTGGATTTGTTCCGAGGTGCGAGTCTTCATGAATGCCACCATCCCCTTCGGCGCGGGCGCTGCCATGCCGCACCCCATGCACCTTCACGGCCACAAGGCCAGGTGGGGAAGAGATGAGGGTATCCTACTAATGGATCTTTGATGATCGAATTGGCCTTTTGGATCCTTTTGGTCTTTGGAGGTTTTTGGGGGATCGAATTGCCTGATTCCCTTTTTTTTTCGAGACCAACGGCGCGTCAGTTCGGTGTTGGTAGAGCTGGAAGCGTCAGATGGACCTCCATCGCTCTCATTGCTAGCCCCCGGGTCGCCTATTTAAAGGAAACAACCCCGGTCACAGGTCTTACGGTGTTGGGGAAACAGGTGGGATTTGTTTTGAAAAACTGGGTCAAGTCCCATCCTGGGTCAATCCTTTCGCCCTTTGGCCCGTGTTCCAAATGCGGGTTGCAGACTGCAAGAAGTGTTCCAAATTGTACATGATAAAAGATGACTAGCAAAGAAGTTGATGTAAAAGAGCTCTTCCAGAAAAGGACCAACCTCCAACAAAAGGCGCATGCGCTGCGAAAGGGCCAATGCAACAAGAGTTCACTTGCCAGCGAAGTTGTTTCGCGGGTGTTTGTATGTGTTCGACATTGTGTATGTGTGTGCGTGTTTCCTGTTTGACTCTTCTCACATCATGGAATTGTAGTTGGTCAGAGTTAGGGGTGGTGGTAGCTGCTGTTGCAGTATGCTTGCTTTTTTTGGTTCTATCTTCATTCGGTGGGGTTGGTGTTGTTTCCAGCTTTACAAGTCATTGGTTTACAGGTGTTCCAGGTGTTCAAGGGCAGAACGTCGAGAAGTGAAGGGGTGCTTCCGAGATCTCCTCTCCAGCTTCCGGTGCTCCAGGTCGCAGTCATGGCCATGGGCAAATGGGATGAACCCTACGATGAGAGCAAGTTGAGCAAGAATCCCATCTACAAGGACATCGGTCAGCAACATAAACGCTGCAAAGGGTCACGTGTGTCAAGGAACCCACGGCGGCCGCATCAAATCTTCGGACTGCTTCAAGTCCCTGTTTTCACATGGTGAAATGGTTCGTGTTGGCATCATGTCGCCCGTTGCCAGGATGTCGTTCCATTGTACAGCGACTCCTGGATGGTGATCCAGTTCGTGACTGCAAACCCGGGCGTTTGGATGTTCCATTGCCATGCCACTGGGCGTCTTTTTCAGTGGATGTGGGTTTGATATTTCCTTTCTGTGCTGGATCCAGAATCCCGTTGAACAATGAATGATCTTGTTGGGGTGGTCAATGGTGCCAAGGAGTGTTGTTTGGGTGCAAGTTTTGTAGGGAGACGTGAAGCGACAAGTCAGCCATGTGCACAAACCTAGTGTTCAGGATTCATCACTGATGAGTCTCTTTTAGGAAAAAAACAACCATGTGCAATGATTGAGGTGAAAATGTTCGTCACAGTGTTTGTGTGCGAGGCCTTTGCGGTATGATCATTGAGGAATGTCCAATCAAGTTCCACCAGTTCACCATGTCCACCGGTCCGGGTTGTTGGTGATTGGGATGGATTGATAGGATTCGAACGGCATGCTTCGAATTTGTAAAAGTCACCAAGATAAACTAAAGGCATCTAAAGGCGGTGTCGTGGTCCACTGGGTGGGGGATGGTGGGGGGTTTAGTGTTTTCAACATCAATATCATGCCTCTACAAAGTGCCTTTGTCAATATGACCCGGAAGAAAACCGTTCGAGCACCTTGCAGCAGAGTTTCGAGCACAGCCAACCTGCCATCCACCGCCAAGGTCAACATCCACGTGAACTCGGGCACTTCGGCGGATGTTGACGGACGTCGACGGATTCGGATGATTCTCCGTCGGGGAAAGGGCACGAGACCCACCCACCATTTGTTGCCAAAGCCGCGCGTCGCATGGAATCACCATTGTGTTCAGAATTCTTGTTCGATCTGTTGGGAAGTCCGCTTTGTTCGGGTGAAGACGGTCTCCCTGGCCGAAATGCCGGTTCGAACTCCATGAGATTAGGGTGGTGAGCCACAGCCAAGAGATGCACGCTGAACGCTTGTCACGCAGCCCAAAGCCAATCATGGTTTTCGAGTCTTGATTTCAATGGTTGAGTTCTTGAGTAGAAGAAACCCAGAACCTTGAATTAGTTGTTCCAAGCACAAACTGGCTATAATTAGATTAGTTTCGAGGCCAGGTTGACTCTGAACCTGGCAAAGGTCAGATTCATCTATATCAATTCATATACCCTACTGATGGGTCTTTCAGGGGCAGACCACCCCAGGCCATCGCCTGTTCTTCCAGGCATGGGCATGGCTATCGATGTGGGTGGTGAGCTGCCGAACGCCCGGCGCACGCCAGAGGGTGCGAACATGTGCTCGGGCCCGCCCACGGGCATTTGAGGCGGGGCGGCCGAGTGTGAGTTGCACTTGTGTCGGTGAGCGCGGTGGGGGATTTAGGACCGGGTTGAGGTCGGTTCGGAAGGAGGGAGCATGGAGCATGGAGCTGGTGAACTGAAGTTGGGCGACCGGCTTGCTTGATTGTTGAGAGGAACTGATTATTATTGTTGACTGTTGAAAGTTGCAAAAAAAACAAGTTACTAAATAAAGTTGCTATGGCTGTGTTATATATAGGCTTATTCCAGGTACAACCATCGCAGACCTTTTGAAAACACTCAATATATCTCAATATTATTGTCTCAAATCTATGGCAACTGTACATGTGTGTGTGTGGAGGTGTGTTGTTTGTGTGTGTTTTGTGTTGTATTGTTTATTTCAATAGGGGTCGGTGTGCCATGTCAGGCTTCCGTTTAGCTCCTGAAATAGAAGAAGATCAGTAGTTCGATCAGGCTCATTAACCCTTCCCTGGATTCCTGTCAATCAGGTGCCCTTCATGAACTTGTTCCTTGACTTGGATCTACCGTGCTTTTATGAGGCTGGCATCCTCCAGAGTGGGGCGTCAGTTGAGTTTCCTCAACTCACAGATGTTGAGTGAGCCTCTCCACCCATAGTCACATCTGAATGTTCGATCAGACGTGGTGTTTTGAAGGTGGCTTGGGCCAGGAGACTAATTAGTTTTCAGACTCTTGCTAGGAAGCTTGTGAAGATTAATTGCTTCCCCCCCATGCGGGAAAGCTAACATCTAGCTTGGCTAGCGCTTTGGTCGCTGCTGGCGCAGCACTGAAGGCCATTTCAGTTTCAACCAATCCGTTCTGCACCCTCACTGCCCTAGCTTGTTTGCAGCTTAGCTATGCATCAATCTTGCACTTACAGGACATTCCAGGACGAATCAGGCCATATTTGCGGTTCCTCACATGCCACGCATAGACATGCTGATTCTTTGCAGGATGCAGGTAAGAAACCTCAACTAGTCATTTACGAGGGGCCCTTAAGGTCACCCCCTGCTTAACAGGTGCTCCTGCCATTTCGCAATGGTAACTCAGCCAGGATCGACCGTATAGGAGACACCAAGTCTCGCTCAGACGGGTGCTGACGTGTTCCGATGGACACACCTGTAAAGTGCTTTTGTGCAGGCCAGCGGCAAATGGCTAGACCTTTGATGCCAGTTAAGGATGGATCAATCATTCAATCAAGTAAAGAGACAGCAGAGACCCGCATAGCACTCCAGCATCAAGATAGCATAGCGTCTCCTGGTGGTGCACGCATCACTGGCTGTCCGACTTTGGCCTGCAATCATCATAAGGTCTCAGTACTCAGTCGTCCGCGGCGTGCGGAAAAAAAGAATATATATATATATATAACTGCTGTTCCTTCCATATAGGTCATTGGCATTTGTAGTTGGTTCCTACATCATGTGGACGGTATTGCACAACCTGTTTGACATACTGGTGAACCAAGCGTCTTTTTTATGCTTGGGTCCTGTTTCATTGCGTTCGTATACAAGAAATGCCACATGTGAGCTTTACAAGTTCACAAGCATCAAGTGAAGACCCACCTGGGTTCTTGTGGATTCCCGTATTGGTTTTTGTCCTGCACTTGGATCCGTGTGACCAGCTGCCATGGTCTTGCGACCTACACAACCGAAGGCCATCAAAGGCCCCTTTTAGGACCAGTTAGGACCCGGCCATTTCCTGCCAACGAGATGCAAGAGATGACAGAATCTGGGGGGCTTCAGAATGCAAAATCTAAATACCCGAAGGATGTGACTAGATGTAGCTTCTTGCTACGTTCGTAGCGATCGAAGCCCTTGTTACTAGTAGCGATGCCCTTGTGACGTTCGTAGCTTCTTGTTGCTAGTTGCAAAAATGCTCCTAGTAGTGTGGCCAGGAGCCCCGATCGCAGCGTCCGATCGCTCCGTTCGTAGCGATGCCCGAAATGCTCCGTTCGTAGCTTCTGGTTGCGAATAGCAGCGCTTGGATCTCCAAGAGCCCATGCTCCCAAGGTCTCGACCCGAGTGCCCGCGGTCGCCAGGCCGGGAGGAACGAGGAAGGAATCCGGAGGTCCATCCATTTGGAATCGCCCCAAGCGGTGGTTTGCATGTCCATGCTTTTCCCGTGGTTTTCCCTCTCCATCTACAGTGAGTCCACCATGAATCTAATTGAATCCATTCGTGTCCACCTTCTCGGGGCTCTGGAGATGCTTCACCCGACTCAAGTTCGGTCGTTTCCGAGGCCACATCCATACCTATGGACCTGTCACCACTGAGTTGGTGGTAGTCGAAATTTTGTGTTGAAAACTTTTGGGCGTGCCTGCAGTACCATAGCAAAAAAACCTGAGGCAATCGGAGAAGGTGGACAAGATCGTAGACAGCCTCAAGGACCAGCGAGACCTGAACATATCTATAGCCTATAGCCATCGCCTATGGCTGAACTGACATTCAAAGGTCGTATTGAAATGGTGTTGGGTCGAAGTAGTGTCAGGGTTGTAGATTTTGGAGGCTATAGGTCGTGAAGTAGATCGTTAAAGTGGATCGAGCTTGGCAGCTTGGCAAAAGAGACTGCAACTGTAGTGTTTCGGACGATTTTGTGTGGAGGACAACTGTTGATTATGGTTGGGTGTGTTATGACGGTTTGCATCGTGGTGGTTCAAGGAGGTGTCAGATTGAACCTTCAGCAACCTCCAATCCTTTTCTTAAAGGATTGATTTGATACCAAAAGAGATTCAAATCATGTTTTCACCCCATGCCAGACTTGTGATCTTTCGCTTGGACCAACCTACTCAAGGACACCTTGTTTTGATTGTGACCGTAACAAGCGAAAGGGCCACAAAGGGCGACGTGGTCCGTCGATTTCGAGGAGCTCACCTTGCTGGAGGCTTCGGAGCTTGTGAAGGCCATCGAGGACGGGGGTGGTGAGGTTTGAGAAGAGACAACTTAAGGAGCTCTATGAAAATCTGAAGGAACTACTACTACTACTACTACTACTACTACTACTACTACTACTACTACTAGATGCAAATGGGTTGTTTGTTCAAAAGTGACTGATGGGACGTTTGGAAAAACATTGATTTGTTTTTTCATGTTTGTGTGGTTGGCTCATTCATGTTCATGTGATACCTGGTGTGCGACTACCTACCCCGCCTCCCATTAGTGCGGAATCAACCATTGGTGGAACACGGATCACTTGTGGATAATAAGGCTTGGTTTGGTGTTTTGTCATGTTTTCCCCGCCCCACTTCACACTTTCATGTGTGAAACCAAGATCGATGTGTCAGTGAGATACACGCGATGCGCAAGTGCATGAAAGTCGATGCGCAAGTGAGCAAATCATCGATGCGTTACTGACACATGCGAGTGGATGTGCAAGTTGCGAGTCGAAGCGCAAGCGAGCGAATTGGCCATGCGCAAATGAGGCCTTGTAGCTCTCCCCCAATGCACCCCACCCCTGCCACCCCTTGTGTTCTTTGGCCCTTCAGTGTGGAGGAGGTCCGTGGTGTGCAAATGATGCTTTTGACAACCTTCTCAGGAGTTTAGAGCCTCATGGTGCGCAAGGAGAAATCTGTTGTGCGCAAGGTTGCGCAAGTGATCCACCACCCGACGCACCATCCCGCCCGCAGATGTGTTTTCCACAAGGGACTAACTCATTGTGCCACCTCTTCAGGAGACCTTTGGAGTCGATGCCTCTGCATCTGCTGGGGCAGCCACTTGGTGTCGAAATCATCGGTGGCGGGATTTATTCGGTTCTGGCTCTATTGATCAAGAGTTTGGCATTGCAACAACAACTTCACCAATGTCCAATACTTCAGGTTCACTCGGTCTTCTATCCAAACTGGGATACCTCTGCTGGATGGTCATACTTGTTTTCAGTGTGTAAACAACGGCTTGACATTCAAAAGAACGCTAGGAATAGCGCCTGCTAAACCCCAGAAACCACGAACTCTTCATCCCCACTGATCGATGGATTGGAGCAAATGTTCAGAACACCATCTCTCCCGCGACGAAACGGCGGAGGCCTCAACGGCGGGTTGAAACGGTTCGTGCCATGTGAAGCACCGATTTATTGGAAGATTCAGGCAGACGTGCCTGGAGAAGGCTAGTTTGGATAGTCCATCCACAACCCGTGCAGGAACAGGCGGTCTGAAGTCATGTTTCAACAAAACGTGTAGCGATTTTTTTCCATGAGTTCAGCCTATTGCTATATGTTGTTGAGTGTTTAAGCATGCAACCTTTGAAGTTTCCGCCGCTTGACCAACAAGATCCACCCCAAAGACCACTGTTTGAACGGCGGAAAGAAGCATTTCAAGCACATATATGTAGAGATCAATTTTCTCCTGTAAACCGATGGTTTTCACGTGCTTTATCGAGGCAGTAGCACCATCGCCGCCCCGGGTTTTTGCATCCGAGGTGGTGATGGCCGCACCAGCCGGCGGTGCCGCCGAGGAGCAGGGGTTCCACCGAAAGTGGATCTAAGGAGGGCTGACCAAAACCTGCGTCGACAAAACAGGGCTTTCGGGCTGGATCTGGGCCCAGATCGCGTGGCCCGTGCCATGCCCGGAGAAAAAAGAACGAACGACGCCACATGATGCGCCAGCCGGGGAATGAATGGACGTTTTTGGAGACGCGAACATGATGCAGCATGTTTGGGACTTCAGAGAGTATACTGCACCAGGCTTTCGTCTCGCGGATTGGCCTGGCGGTGCCGCCAAGGAGGCCGATCAATCCCAGAATCCCATCGTTTTCAGAGTCCACCCGCTTTTGGGGTGCCTTGGCGAGCTGCAGAGGTCCCATAAATGAGGTGCCCACCGGAAAAGCCCTGAACCGTCGCCCAGAGGTTGGTACAATTGGATGGTTTCGACCAACCTCCAAATGGGTTGAGTGGGACGAATCGATCCCCAAAACTGAACCGGGATGGTCGGCCAAGGGGACGTGTCCCTGGCCGAGTTCGGCGCACGACAGTCATTTAGTTGAAGAAGTCACGACTTGGAGAAGGGGAAGATCCCTTCAAACTGATGCCTCACTTTTCGTTGCTGGGCATAAGTTTGACCAAAACGCTCAGCAGGAAGCCGCTCCTGAGAAGACGGACTTCGACCTGATCCTGAAGGAAGCGCGGGAACCAAGGTCAATTGTGGAAGATGTGACGCAAAGGTCCAGCGGGTTTTGCCTGACGTTGCAAGAATGGAGAGCCACAGACCCCCAGGTTCCACCCAGAAGTGAGTTTTTATGCCCCCCTTTGTGAGGGGGATCACACTAGAAATGCTCATTTCAGCCTCCACCGTAGCGAAGAGCGTTCACTTCGTAGTGCCGAAACTCAAGTTGGTGGAAGAGAAAGGTACTGTTTGCAGCACTTGTAGCTGCAATGAATGATCAGTTTCTTTGTTGGACAAGCTTCACAAGTGGTCTATTCTCATAGGATGCAATGAATGGGTACTGAGACTGGTACTGTAGATAATCCAGGGATGTCAATGGTGAGGGTCGAACTGGCTTGTTTGGATGTTTGAGTTTCAATGTGGAAATTGAGCTTTCTCGAAGGGACCGCCAATTCCCAGGTCAAAAAGACCTGTTTGTCACGCTCCTCACAACCATACCACAACCATCCTCATGGTGTCTAGCATAAGTTCTTTCAGATGCTCCTAGCATCCCTAAAGTCACTCTTACGAGTCTTAGGAGTTGCACCAGGTTTCCCTGCTATTTGGAGCATGCGTAAGAGACACTGTTTGGAGCATGGGTCAGTGGCGAGGCGACCACAGTTCTTCGGTCCAAACTCCTTCTGAAGGTTCATCTCCAGGGTTCTTTCATCAAGACGGCTTCGGATTCTCTTTTTCATGGTTTATCAAGCCGTCTTGTACAGTCTTCTAGAGAGACATCATATGCCTCGCGGGAAGCTCAAGAATTGGTGCATCTCTTCCGCCCCAGAAATGAGATCCATTGACAGAGCCACCATCGAGCCCATCGAAGCGACTGATATCTCATCAGTTCGCCGTTGTTGGACCCAAAGAAGGGGCGCAAGTGACTTGGTCTCGTGCCACGCCACGAGAGGGCGCCGAACAAAACAGTTTTTGTCGCAGGTGCCGGCGATCTGAGGTTCCCAAAGAGAAGAAGATCGCAGTGATCAAAGCCATCAGAAGTATTACAGGCGCCGTAGCTGTGGTTCCATTTTGTTGACCCGGATGCAGCGACTTGAAGTGGCCGTTGTGCAAGCCACACCGATGGAGAACCTATGGGAGAACACGTCAGACACATTGCCATTGCTGTTTGCTTGTGTTCTTCAAAGCCACACCATATATATAGAAACAGTTTTGTTTTAGTCAACTAGAAAAGTCTAACTGTGCATGTGGATGTGAGTGAAAACAAAACACTCAGAGGATTTTCAGACCGCTTGTGTTCAGTGTGGGTATGTAGCATTGACTTGGTCAAGAACCTATATAGCCCGCAGAGTGATGCCTGGGTGACAACACGAACTTTGATTCTGTAGATCCAGTTTCAATTCCAACATCAACGCCACTCCAACAAACAACCCGCCGGAACACCATCTTAAGCCCAGAAATTGCTGTGAAAAAGCACAACCGGAACCCTGTGCCGCTTTCATGTGTCATCATCCGCTAGGCTTGGGCTTGAAGGAGGCCAAAGGCTTGGCAGACAATCCCGGCAAGGCAGGGTGTGGTCCGACATGGGACGGTTGGGAGCGAGGCTTTTGGGGGAAAGCAACTTCAATTAAAATCATGAGATCCCAAAGGCTTGGTCAGTCCTGGCTTGGTCAGGACTGGGGAATGGCTCATGTATGTCTTGAAACAGTCAAGAATGGGTGTCCACTTCTGAAGGTGTGGCTTCTTTGGTACTTGCAAGAACTTCTGTGCTCTCCTACCGTCTCCTACTGTAACTTCTGGAGACGGGCGCCCTACTCAATCTAGGATAGGGAGGCCGTGTCCATTTTGCCTAGCCTTGCAGAAATTGCCATGACCATCCATGACATGAACAGCCACAACAGCATGTACACCGGTGCAGAAATTGCCATGTTTGGGAGACACCCCCTTCTTCGCATGGGCTCGTCGCTCGCGCGAACGGCTTCATCCTCAGTTGGGATATCAATAGTTGGGCTGACTGATCATGCTATCGTGGGTGGTCGATTCTGAGGGGGGAGTTCTTTCCCAGTGGAGGCCCGGTGCGCAAGAACCGACGCAGTCGACGCAGTCGGTCGACTGCACCGCGGCATACCGCGGCCAACGCTCAGATCATCGAGGGCAAGCCCAAGGAAGCGTGCGAGGTGGCGGCGGGGTGATCGGCATGAAGTGGAGCACGTGTCGTTGCTGTTGTTGGCATGTCTTCACGTGACGCCAAATGGGGCGTCAGTGGGCCTGCAGCACCTGAGCTACTGCAAAAAAATGCTCCTGCGTTCAGACATCTTCAACTGGAGATCAAAAGCATGTTGTTTCTATCAAAAGCATGGAGATGAGTAGCACCCACATGTGTGGCCGGATCAAAGTTACAATCACCTTCGTTATTGATGTGTTTTGAAGGAGATGTACATGCAAAAAAAGAAGGCCCAAGCGATTCTGAATCTCTCAGAATCCAAGGTCCTCTTTTCGAAAATGTGAGTCATGAAAGTCATGAGGAAGTTTCAACCTGCATTTTGTGGATCATCCACACTCCTACCGCTCTCCAGGACGCCAAGAAGCAGCTGGAAGAGGCTGGCGCCAAGGCAGAGATCGAGTGAGTGCGGCAGAGATCAGCCGGAGGCAGCCGGAGCTCACAGAAAGAACCATGGATTTCTGAGGTCCAACACGAAAAAAGCGCGCTGCCAAAGTGGAGGCAGCCGATATGGATATGTTTTTTCGGCCTAATTTTGGCCCTTCAAGCCGATGTGGCGTTCCAAAGCGCCAAAGAACTCCGCCATTCCTCGTGGACCTTTATCACCAAAAGGATTCAAAGAAAAGCATCGGGCGATCTCAGCCGAGTATTGGCACCTCAAAAGCCGGTGAAATACCCAAAGTCGGCACAGCGCACGAGCGGTGGACATCCGACCGCCAATCCCACGTGATGAGAAGCAAACTCGCGCTGTGACCAAAAGGTGGAACTTTGCATCGGATTCAGGCCAAGCTGATAAGCAACAGCTCAGGGATACCAAAGTCAGTCGAAGAAATGAAGAAAGAGGAAGTAAAGCAACTCAATAGGCGGCAACTGCAGAATTTTGATGACAATTTGGGAATCCTGATGAATTATACAATTTTGGGGAAGCCTCGGTTTGATTGAAGTTGCTATGTTTGTTTCACTTGCCTTCAAGGGAGGTGTCCCTGTCTCGCACGGAAGGGGCATGCAGAGGCAGATGTTTTTCGGAATCGCAGGTAGCTTCTTCATTCTCTCAATACTTGGTTCAACTTGGTTCTTTGTTTACATCACATCCACTCCTCATGTCCCCTCATATCCTGGAGATGTGTTGGCATGCGAGCTTGTCAGCACTTCAAGATGAGGCAGATGCGATCACACATGGATGGCTCACAAGGACAGACTGCAGTTTGCACGACTTGGCCGACGATTCCCATGGCGCCGGGTGTCCACCGGGTCCGCCGGGTCGGAGCCCTCAGAACTGCGGATCGTTCGGGTGAAATGGGTCGAGACCCATGGGTGGCACCATGGGTGGCCCAGTGATGGCCTCCAAGCTACTAGCGATGGCCTTCAACCTAATCACCAAAAAGCACAGTTTTCATGTTAGCCCAATACAGTAGTGTCATGGCCTGGTGTCGGCAAGGGTGGCTGGTGGTGGTTGTAGAATCGTAGAGTCATGCTGAAGAACAATCCAGTGGAAGAGGGAGATGCTGGAGAAAGATTCCCTGCAGGATGCTGACAGGTTCTTATGGTTCTTTGCAAGTTTGTCCATTTGTTCTCTCCCGTGCGCGTTGGTTCCCCATGGGACACCTAGGCCGAAGAAAGCGTCGTCAGTGGACCACCAGTCTAACGACGCCGGACCTGTGGGGGATTGGGGAAACCTCACTCAAGTCTAATAGGTGGAAAAAGGGTATACAAATACACCATTATATATACAACATCATGTTCCCTTTATGTTGCAGGAAACTGAGACAAATTGAAGGAGTACTTCTTGGCTCTTCTCCAAGCTCTCCAGGTCGACAGCTGGGCTCTTCACTATTTCACCGCAGTTTCGATGGCGGGACCCTGAGGCAGATGAGACAGATGAACTTGTCAGTGATGGCAGTGGGGACAGTCTAAAGGAAATAAGGGGAAGACTGGGAAGAGTTGTTCAATCAAAGTCCAGACACCTGAGTCACAAGATGTCACAAGAGACAGACTCATGCAGAGATGTCTGTCCGATCGCGTTTGACCGCCCTTGGCCCAAGTCGTTCTGGGTGCGGTGACGGCGGGTGACGTATCCGAGTGCAATGCCGGGCCGTGGCTGTCAGATCGAGAGCATGTTTGCAGAGTCTTTAAAGCTGGGATGCTGTGAAGTTGACGTGACCTTTCTCAAGAAGCTTGGTGAAAGTTTGGATTTTGACCGATCATCATCGGTGGGAAGTTCAATGACAATGGGCACCAGTGGTTTGCAACGGTTGTTGGATGTTGTTGGTAAGTTTGCACTTATCAATGGGGTAGTTGTGGCGATGACGGTGCGCATATTCTATTTGGGGTGATCATTGAGGAGAAAATTTATGGGATGCCCATTCAGGCGGTGATCCATAGTGAATGACTCCTGTGCCATTGCAGGATGAGGGACGACATACGAATATTGGTGTACAGTGCAAAAACGTTAGCGTAGAAGGGAGTGACAAGATGGTAGAAAAGACGCAACGAAGCTCCAGGCTACTTCAACTTCTTCATTACACTTGCAGCCCCCTCCTGGTGTTAGCTTCATCTGCATCGGTCTGCTTTCTGGCCTTCCCACATCCGTCCATCTGTCTTCCCAAACAGCTACCGGCATTTGATGTCATCTAAGAGCAGATTGTCACTGATATTGGAGCAGAGTACATACAGTATATACCAATACCTTCTTTGTTGTCTAACGTCAAATTGATTGTTCGGTCATGTTGCTACCACAAGGTCAACTACCGGCTACAAGCGTTAAAAGCTACAAATGGGTTTCAGAGCCAAGGTGCATGGTCCCCACAGGCCATCCATTACATTTGTGCTCACAATCCAAAATGGAATCGTGGCACTCCCTCATGCGATGAAAGGTTTCAGGGCGCCCAGTCGGTTCCACGGAGCAACTGAGGAAGAGGTCGAAGCAATTGTGTGGAGCGTGCCGCAAGGCCGGGCGCGTTTGGCCGGCGCCGCAAGGCACGCGAGGCAAAACGGTCTGGTGGAGTGAGACGCGGGACTCAAGACCTGTTGGGTCAGGATGGGTCAAGAGAAGACGGATGCTGACGGATCACGGATGAGAAGGGATCTGGATGTAGTGCATGTGGATATCCGTTCGTTTTGTGAATTTAATTCCGTAGATCAAAGGCCCAATGTCAGACATATGTGGATTCGCCGATTGATCTCTGAAGGTTCCAGTCGATCCCGAAATCACCGTCAAGGCGCGCCGCGTGGGTTTTTGCAACTACAGCATCACGTGGGAAAGAGGCCACCCTGGAGTGGGCCATGTCACATTCACGCTCTTCCTATTTTAGGAATCCTGATATATAATCCTCATATAGTAATACCCCCAGATGTGAGGCCCCTGGAAACCATACGCGTCCATGGGTTCCAAAAAAGGCTCTTCATCACCATATAAAGTCAGTATGTGTGTAGCCAGAAGCCCACATCATCACTTGCAAGTGCATGGCCAAGGCCGCAACCAAGAGTTGGCGTACACAAATTAGACTCCAAACAAAAGACAAACAATACAGACTCTTTGGGTACCTAAAACCGAAAATAAAGAACAAAAACAAACAAATTCAACATCTACACCCACTCGTTGGGGACACTAGCCAGCCCAAGACCTCTCAGAAATTGTGTTGTTTGTTTTTTTTGATGTGTTTCTTCGATCTGTTTCTTGGAGGCCACCTCTTCCCAGTCCAAGGTGATTGAATTTGCTTTAGGGATTGCCGCCGTTTCTTCAAAAAAAATGCTGATGTACTGCCAAAAGCTGAAGCCAAGAAACATGTGTGGTCAATGCCTTTGCCTTTCTTGACTTATTTACTGTCTATTCGATTTACTTTTTACTTGCTTGTTTTTTTTGTCTGAAGGGGGTCCAGGAACCTTGACCTATTGGTTTGTCAAAAGTCCTATACACTGTACAATTCATTGTTACAAATGCAGCATCAAAAGTGCTCAACAAGTTTCACTGCCACAGCCTCCCACACTCTGTAAATTCGGGTTTGTCCTAGAAGTAAGGCCAGATGAACACCGAAAAAGTGTTTGTACAAGCCCAAGTCTCATGATGTTTTTTGCAAAAAAGACAACACCCCCCCAGGCCCCAGGCCGACTGCTTTGGATCCGCAGGTGGTCAATGGTGAAGTGACAGGCCTGGTGTACGAGTGGGACCTGCAGGACAGTTGGCCCATTCACTTCACCAAGGTACGCGGCACGCCGAAGTGGGAATCCAGTGGATGGGAGTCGGAGTGGATGCAAGCCGAAGCAGAACAGCACTGACCAGTTGATTTGGGCAAGAAAGCAACAATTTGAACATCAACTCCAGAAGAACGCGATTTTTTATACAGGAATACCATGGAATTAATACCATGAAAGTGGACATGTCAACGTGGGGATTGACAAAAACCGTATGATCCGTTTCTGCCAATTCTCTATTGCAGAGGCCAATTCCATTTTTGTATGGAAGAAAAGACTTCCGCGCTTGCTTGTGGAACATGGGTTTCAATGGATTGGTGGTCTAAGATTTGGAGGACTGTTCCTTGCGAAAGGTGGTCATGGAACGAACCTGTGAATATTCTGTGCCCAGATGTTCCCAAATGTTACCAGTTCAACGATTGACCTAGCTACACATGCTTTGCGAGTTGTGTTCCATTGACGAAGAGCTACATGCTTCGTTTCGAAGAGCCTCAGAGCGTGTTGAAGATGGTTTCCTCAGGAAGTTGTCATGCTGTGAGTTGTGTTTGCGTCGCATGTCTGGCGCGGTCTTTGGTCTTGTCGAGCTCATGGCCTCAGTTAGTAGTAGCTTCTTGTTCCTAGTAATGTTGCGTTCGTAGCAATGCACGTGTTACGTTCGTAGCGATGCCATCTCTTTACGTTCGTAGCGATGCCATGGACGCGTGCCTCAAGACCAAGGCGCGGCTTCAGATTCTATCTTTTGCCGAGTTGGAAATCCTCGAGGTCTCCCGGAACAGGACTGGACAGCCAAGACCAGAGGACCAGACAAGACAAGACCGGAGGACCGGGGGCCTCCGACTGGAGGTGTCGACTTGAAACCTCAACCTTTCGACCCTTGAGGATTTGGAGGTCTTTGAAGTGATGTTCGACAAACAAATCCCGGGTGTCTTTAGGAGGTTTGATGTTTGACTAAAAACACGAAAGGATACTAAACGTCCATTTGTGTCCGCTGTCCGCGGCCTGGTCAGGACACTGGTTCGGATGCGGCCGGAAGTGCTTCAAATGCAAACTGGATCTCAAACCTGGGATGACAAGGACAGCTTTTGACGTGCAAAGCGAAGCGATGTGATGCTTGAAGCGATGTGATGTGTTTAGACATGTTCACCCAGGCTACTAGACGCACCTACGAGCTGCAAAAAACAACGTGCACCAATGTGCATGATTCGTTGAGGTCGAAACAGATTGCTGTTTGTGTATCCAAAGAACATCAAAGAACACCCATGTTCAATGTCAAACTCGCTATAAAAAAAAAAGTGGGAGGCCATTGCTACTGGGGTTCAAATTGGGTTCAAGTTTGCTTCAGATCTGGAGGCTTGGAGGTTCCGTTTCATGTGGACCAAATGCAGGTCTCCAAGTCGGGACACAAAAGAATGACCCGACTTGGAGACCCTCCAAGCGGGGACAGACGTAGGTAGCGATGGCCTACTTAGATTTGGGTGATGATACATATGTGGGCTGTTCGAGCCATGTTGGCACTTCGCGTGTAGTGTAGGCCTGCAGGCTTTCAGTGCGGCAAGCCATATGTTGCGTGATGCTTCCCGGATCATGGGAGAGCGTGCATTCGAGTGCAAGTTGCAAATAGGGTCGCCATTCCCTTGAGATAGAATCAATCTCGTGAAGGCCCGGCCCCCATAGAATCCCGAAGAATTGAAACCATCGAACTGTTTCCTGCAAATTGGACACGCGCCCGCCGAAACCGGAAACCGGAGTCCGTCAGAGAGGTGAGATGATGATGTCTCATCGGCCGCAGGTCAGTCGCCGAGGTGTGAGCGAGTGGCACAGTGGCGCTGTGGCTGAAACGGTGCTTCCTCCTGGATTTGAGGCGGGGAGCCCCTACTGTAGTAGCTTCTTATTCCTACTAGTAGCGATGCCAGGAGGCTCATTATGAGTTGGGTGTTCGGCACTGGCTATAACTCCAGAGTCCACTTCTACAATCAGAACATGTCAAAAGTACTCTTCTATCTTCTTAATCTATTTTGTTCCCAATCTGACCAAGCCTGCCAGATCGAAGAGCTGTTGGTGGTTCACGAGCTGCTGCTGAAACATTCGCTACATAAGGCCATGAAGCAACGGCCTTTTGCGCAGAGGCGCAAAGGCGTTTGGCAACGGCCCATGCGGGCCATGCGAAGTTCGCAGGCCTTGGTGTGGCCACACCAGAGTTCTCGAGGTGATGCGGTCTTTTTGACCGCAGACTTCGAAACCGGATGAGTTCAGTTGATTTGAATAACCTCATAATGCTGTATCTCGTATCTCCATCAACTCAGTCTTGGACGCGATGCTTGGCAATGGCTTCACAATGCTTCACATGCAACATGACACAGTCGAAAACGAGGCATCACAGAGCGGGCTGGTGCGGTTTCATCCGCAGGCCCGAGACAGGTAGGAGGTCTTGGGGTGGTTTGATTGACTAAGGTGAAGGCAATGCTCGGACGAACTGAACCCTCGCGATCTTCGGACGGCAGAGCTTCAGCTGTAAAGCGGAAACGATGCCATGAGCTCCAGACCAGCGCGGACTGAGCGAAAATCACCGGCAGCGCAGCTTCAGTGATTTTGTGCAGTTGGAGGTTCAAAGACTTGAATAGTCCAAACTTTGTGGTGTTTCTCGTTAATCCGGTTCTGACTGCCAAAATTTGACACGATTTCCAGAGGTTTGCTTATGGTCACCAGGACTTAGAGGTGGCGAGTTTCCAAGGATGCGTGGTTTTTTCGCAAGGATGTGAGCACTCAACCGTGGGAACGGCATCTCTCAGCGACACTGAGGATGGAGCTGGATGAAGCGCGTGACCTGGACGAACCGGGACGGACGACATGCGTCGGAAATGACGAAAAGATGGAGGTCCAAAGAGGATATTGAACATACTGAACCAACAACTTAGCTTAAATTTACATAAAGCATATTTTGTGGCAGCAGCATTTACCAGACTGGCATTCACTGACAATCCGGGATCATCAGACATCCAAAGAACATCAGCGGGATCTGTCGTTGCGTTCAATCCGGGGAACGCGTCAAAGCCAAAGCAGCAATTTGAGCACTTTGTCAAAGTCATGAAACCATAAAGCATCATGAAGCCACAATCAGGTTCATAAGTTCCCTCGCCCCCTGCTGCAAAATGACAGCTTTATCATCCAAACCAGTCATAGACGAATAGAACGGGCCGGCCGAGGGAACTAGAGCGAATCGTAAAAACTTGTTGGTTTGCCGAAGGGTTCACAGCCTCACAACCTCCAAATTTCTCGGCTTGCACAAAATGCATGTTTGGACAGCAGCATCATGCATGCCCCTTTTGATGATGTTCATGTGTGAAACCAGCAGGGCTCAGAGATAGCACACTGGGGAGAGGTCCCTGAGCTACAGGAAGGTCGGAGTGTCCTGCAGTACTCTTGAGGTGATCATTGATGAACTAAAGTATCCCTATTGACTCAGTTGATTGGGTTTTCCTGCTACTGTAGGAGTTGGTCGGGGGAAGCGCCGACTCCCCTTCACCCAAGCAGGCAGAGCAAAACCACAGGTGTTTGCAAGAGAAACACAGTTTGGACATCGCTACCGTTTCTCCGCCAGTGTTTCTACATGTTTCTACCTTTGCACTAAGTGTTTCCGCCCAATTCTTTCCTGTGCAAACTACTGGTAGGAGGTTCTTCAAGCGCTCCCCCTGAGGCTTGAACGCGAAGCGGGGGCCTATTTTTAGGGCAGCTGGGCTTCGGCTTGGAAAAGTGGGCTCGAGCGCTGTTGACCTGGTTTGACCTGCTTTGACTTGCGCAGTTCTGTTCTTCGCATGGCGACGCGCTCCGGGACGGAGACCTGACCGGTCCGGTCCGGGGCCGTCGGACGGAGGGGGCCGTCCGCGTCCGCAGTCAGCGAGTCCTCAGGGCTCGAAGATTCAAACAGCAAGAGAATGGACAGGCCATGGCAGAACTGGCGAAGAATCAAGGTGGACCGGCCATGTAGCGCTGCACCCGAGAAAGTGCTCTACCACGTTGACAGCGGTTTAAGATGGTTTAAGACCGTGTTCGATGGTTGTTTTGGTGGGGGCAACCAGTTTTCAGTGAACCAATGAGACAAGCATTTGAATCCATGCGAGAAGTTCCACGACCCAGCGCGAAAAGAACTTTACAGTCTACAGCACCATAGAGAACTGTCACCATGGCAGAGGTTTTGTTCGCTTTTCACACGCTTTTGTTCTAAGACAATGGCTGGCCGGTTACCTGAGGTGACGTATACCGAACCCCCCACCCGTCGCGCGGACGCACCAAACATATACTTCTTGTCGTTCGAAACTCGCTCGACTCGATCGACTCGCCATGGCGATGGATCCACCTCCTCCGCCCGCGAAGAAGAGGATGGACCGAGCGGGTGGATGATGTGGAGGGACCGGGTGATCCTGAGGCTTCATCGGAGATGCATACGTGAGACTTGAGATGTCCGAAAGATGAAGCGAGAGATGTGGGTCCAGGTCGACCTACCAGGACCTTGGGTCTTGTTGAAAAAAGAACCGCAGGAATTTGAAGTCTTTTGGACAGAAGAGGTCGGTCTTGGAGACACCAATTACCGATGAAGTTGTTGCGGGTTAAACTCGCGTCTTCCGTAACCCAAAAAAATGCTGAACCGAACGCGGCACCAGAACCGACGCAAGTACTGCTGGGACAGGGAAAGCACCAAAAACAACCCAAGGGTACCAAAGGACATTGGGCAATACAAGTGTGCTGGAATTCCTGTAGAACCCACAGCTGCTGAGAAGGAAGACGACGGTCCGTCGGTCGCGAGCCGATCGTCGACGGGTCGAGGCGGCCAATGGTGCCGGTCTTCGCCAATGGATCGAATGGATCCACTAGCGGCGTGACGCCATCCAGGCCTGGATTGGAGACCGGGATAACTTCTGGGCGGAGGACCAGTCTGGTTGAGAAGAAGAGGACCATGACTAGCTGTGGCTTCTTCGCTTGGTTGCCAGAACCATCCAGAACCCATGACACCTGTTGGTTCCACACACGTCCGTCAGGTGTGTGAACATCTCAACCGACCACGCACGCACCATTCGGACCGACCCGACCCGGTCCATTGATGTCGTTGGTCTGCAGAATCGGATGGTAAGTAAGGCAGGCACCCTCTGATTTGGAGGTGAAAGGAGGCTAAGCTTCATGGAAGTTCGTCTCATCTCAAGCAGGAAGGAAGGGAGGTATTGACGTAAGAAAGATATAGGTTGCGACTCGTCGATTCAGGAATTGCGCAGAGTACTTGAATGATCTTGAATAGGTTCTAGTGCCAAAGACCTGCAGGGGCTAACAAATGGCGTGCTGCCTTTGGCCCCCACCTCAACTTGTTGGTCACAGTGTAGATGATTCAATCATGGTCCGGGTATTTCAACAGAAGATACTTATAGTAATACTTTAGAATATTGAAGTAGTTTACAGCTCGTTAGCTTCTGTCGCTGCGTGGGTTCGTCCGTTCTGGCAGTGTAGGACCGTAGAGGAGGTTCAACACTTCCTGGGTTCTGTGTGAATTAGAATGGTTTGGTTTGTGCATGGTGCAGTTTGTGAGTGTACTGTTAGCATCTGTTAGCGTGAAACCAATCCAGTCCACTACGACCATGGAGTGTCGTTTTGCTGCCAGGTCCGATGAGGAGGAGAGCAAGGCTTGGTGGCCCAGGAGCAAGGCGCACCAGGTGGATAGAAACAATGGTGCTTAGAAGAGAAACCATGAGCAACCCTATTATCGCTTTTGTTGCTCGGGCTCCTTTTGTCCTGGAAAGGGGGTATGGTGAGAACTGGTTGATCCAAGAGTGACGATGGTTCGACCCAGGGAACTTACCAGAACGAAGTCGAATTGATATCATGTTCCAAAGCCAGAGCTGCTTCTTCCTGTTTGTTCTTGGTGTTTGTCCTTCCCAAAGCTCCACCAAACCGCTTCCGAACAGTCTTTGGTTGATTTGCCCGACACGCGGTTCTTCACTTTCTTGGGTGGGAAACGTCGTCATCGCCTCAAACACTAACAACTGGCAGCCTATCCATGCTTGTCTAGCAGAAGGTTGTCGTGGTTCCAAAATCTTGCAATACCATTTCTATAAGAGATAGAAACAGGTGTTCAAAACATGTGGAGAGTTCCTACTAGTGGGCGATGTGTAAGTTTGAGAAGGCGGTACTAGTATGTTCTACCCGTTGTTGGTGGAAAGCCGGTAAACGATGGTAAACCTCGAGTATGGCCTTCTCGTTCGCCCCCCCTCCTGGCCCACTCCCCAAAACAACCAGGCGACGCTCCAAACAGGCAATGTGATGGGATGGATTGGGTTTTCGGTGCAGTCACATGTCACATGCATGGCACCTGTTTTTGGGGGGTGTTGGGAGGGAAAGTCCATGAAAATCCCCTTTGGGAGCACCAATCCATGTGGATGACCGCTGAATCTTCACTTGTCACCTGCTGTGTTTTCACGTTTCCACAAATATGTGTTTTCCTTTGTTTGGCTTGGTGTTCAACCAAGAGCTCGCCAGTGATCAAGCCTTCTTTTGAAGACGGGGCATCAATTGCTTCAAGTGAAAGACAGCGTGAGTCTACGAATCCCAATATTCATTAAGAAAGGTTGGAATGCCTTGATGAGGGGTTCATCCCAAGAATGTAGAGGAGCAGGAGCACATGCGTAGGAGGATTATGATGTTGGCTCCCGGAAGCACCTTGGCTGGAGGTTCGCCTGCACCTGTCGCAACCAACGGCCGGACCAATGGTGCTGTCGCTGCAGCTGTGCCTTCGACCGAGGCGGCCGGGACCCAGTGAACAAGGTCAGATGACCCCACATCACACACTTATGGAAATGCGTACGGACTTGATTGCGGTTGCCACACGCCAGCCTAAGTAAACCACCTAGGGGTTCAGGTAAGTTACAGGTAAGTAGTGGTCTCCGTGAGGCCTCAACGAAACTTTCAAGTAAATGCCGAGTCTCAACAGTGAAGCCGACGATCTCGAAACGACAAGATGACGACGTATCGTGCAAATCTGCAGAATTAAAATTGAAATTGAAGGGTGGCCACCAGCTGCGTCTTATTATGCGCCCAGGTGCACCAAAGCAGGTACGTTTACCTGATCATCCAGCGTAGAGCTTCGTTGGCAGAGGCTTTGACTGGAGATCGCTCTGCCCCCTGCTTAAAACTAAAACACAAAAGTATATACAAATCCGAAGCTCCCACAAGGGGAGGCGAGAAGAGCTAAGGCCAGGGCTGATGTGCAGGTGTGCGCGCAGCAAAGACAAGAAGATGAGATCCGTCCGAAAATGTCGGAACCAAGAGCTTACATTGAGCATACATTCAAAACCGATGAGGAAAACCATGGAAAACTCAAGACCGATGCCTAGTATCATACGTACATACGACTACTACTACTACTACTACTACTACTACTACTACTACTACTACTCCTGCTCCTACTCCTACTCCTACTACTACTACTACTGCTACTACTCCTGCTGCTGCTTCTGGTGCTGCTACTACGACTACTACTACTGCTACCACTCCTACCACTACTACCACTACTACCACCACTACCACTACTACTACTACCACCACGACTACCACTACTACTACTACTACTACTACTACTACTTCTACTACTACTACTACTACTACTACTACTACTACTACTACTCATGAAGGCAGGAAGACATGAAAGAAAAGAGGAAAGAAGATGTGTGTGAAGGGGAAAAGATGAAAAGGGAAGCCAAATGGAGGGGGCCGGAACAGATGAAACCAAACTTCATTAGAAAGATCTAGGAAGACCTGCCTGGCCTAAGGTGGGGACAGGATCCAATGAACCTAACAAAAGCTTCGGTCGCCTGCTTTGCATCCGGCAGCGGATACGTTGGAAAAATAAACCGTTCGACGGGTCCACAAGGGGACACTCGTCGGGCTCACCCTGGGCTGGCGTAGAAGGCGCCAGCTGAGTTGTGCTTGGCGAACGAAGTGAGTAGTTAGGGGGTCTGGGGGGGGTGGCCCGCAAAAGGTACACGTAAACTCGGCACATGCTGGGGGAGGAGGGTGGACGGATGGAAGGTTTTTTGAGGTTGTGTTGGAGGTGATTTTTGAGGGGCGGTGATGCAAGAAATGCAATTTGCATCATTTGCATCATCTGAATGGTAAGGTGTAGTTGGCACCTTGCCAGGTATAGATACCCAGGGTAGCTATAGTGCAGTTACCAGGTGTAGTACTTCAAGTTCCCTTTCCATCAACCGCTCGATAACCTTTACACATGCACAGCAATCCGCAGCTTTGAAGTCTCATGCGCGCGATACCTGGGAACAGAATTGTAGCTACCCTGGGTCCGTATAAATGCTATGTTGCTATACCTCTTACACACACACATATAAGTTCAAAGCACGAATGAGACTTCAAAGCTGTGGTTTGCTGTGATCGAGCGGTTGACGGAAAGGGAACTGGAAGTACTATACCTGGCAACTGAATTGTAGCTACCCTGGGTATCTATACCTGGCAAGGCGCCAGCTGAGTAAGAAGGGGGGTTCGGGGGGGGTGGCCTGAGAAAGCTCACTCGAAAGTAGGTGGTGTGTAGGGGTGCACGGAAGCAAGGTTTTGGAGGTGCTTTTTTGTGATAAAAAATGCAATTGTCTTCGGTTGGTTGCAGTGCTATTCTTGGCAACTGAACTGTAGCTACCCTGGGTATACCTGGCAACTGCCTTGTAGCTCCCTGGGTCCGCGCGCGCGCCTAAATCACGGGCAGCCGGGAGCCAGCAAGGCGCGCGCGCGCGCGGACCCAGGGTAGGGAAATTGAAGTGGGATACCTGGCAACAGAATTGTAGCTACCCTGGGTCCGTATAGATGCTATGTTGCTATACCTCTTACACACATATAAGTTCAATGCAAGAATGAGACTTCAAAGCTGTGGATTGCTGTGCGCGTGTAAAGGTTATCGAGCGGTTGACGGAAAGGGAACTTGAAGTACTATACCTGATAACTGAATTGTAGTTACCCTGGGTATCTATACCTGCGCCAGCTGAGCAAGAAGGGGGGTTCAGGGGGGTGGCCTGAGAAAGCACACTCGAAAGTAAAAACGCTGGCTTTCGTTTTGCAGCTTCTCAGGTATGGAAACACATACGGACTTGATTGCGGTTGCCACACGCCAGCCTAAGTAAACCACCTAGGGGTTCAGGTAAGTTACAGGTAAGTAGTGGTCTCCGTGAGGCCTCAACGAAACTTTCAAGTAAATGCCGAGTCTCAACAGTGAAGCCGACGATCTCGAAACGACAAGATGACGACGTATCGTGCAAATTTGCAGAATTAAAATTGAAATTGAAGGGTGGCCACCAGCTGCGTCTTATTATGCGCCCAGGTGCACCAAAGCAGGTACGTTTACCTGATCATCCAGCGTAGAGCTTTGTTGGCAGAGGCTATGATTGGAGATCACTCTGCCCCCTGCTTAAAACTAAAACACAAAAGTGTATACAAATCCGAAGGGCCGAAAGGAACCCTGTGACTCCAAGGGTTACACACACACCACACCCACATTGCCCGAAAATTAGGCCCTCAAAGGTAGGATGGGAAACCACCAAAGTCCCAAGCCGTCTGGGTGATTTTGCAGCGTTTGTCTCATGGGTCCGTCCATGCACGTGACAAGCAGTTGCACCCCAAAACTCCTGAAACTTGATAGGCTCGCAAGAAGCCAGAGCTGGCTGCTGGCGCTGCAGGGCACAGCGAGGAAGCTGGTGCAAGCGGACTGGTGGTTGTTGGATGATGAGTTGGACACGACCACCGGCAGCCAGGAAAGAGCAGATAGGTAGATGTGACAGAAAGATAAGGACTGAGACATAGATAAGAGAATAAACAAAGGTGGGAAAAGAAGAGAATGGAAGCAACAGCACAAGGTCCCAGAAGCACAGGACAGAGGAAACAGAATCAACTGCTAATATGAAGAAATGAGGGCACTACTCTGTGACAGAAAAACAATGTTCCTTGAAGATGTTTGATACTTCTGGCAGGACTTGCCAACAAAGGCGCGGTTGATTCGGGCAGTGGAGGTTTTATAGATGTTTGCGCGTGTAAGGATGCGTAGGGAGTAGAACGGATCCCACAACAGGCACAAAAGAGCACCCCGCAAGAGGTCTGGGCAATTGTTCCGTCCAGCAACTGCCACTTCTGTCAAGAGTTGAACCTGCGAGTGGCTGAAAGAAACCTTGAAGCATCCCCAAGTCCGCAACCTGGCTGGGAAAGATCAACAGTGCCATCAGTTAGTTCATGTTTGAACGTTTTGTTTGCCTCCTCCAACATGGTATATAATTCAATTCCTCACTCCGAAGGTGAGGTCAAGACCTGAGCATGAACAGAATAATCGACCTTGCTACCAGGTGATGTTTTCTCACTTGTGATGTCCGGATGGGTCATGGCACCTGGAGCTTAGGTCTCCCGGCGCCATAACCCACAGCCACCGCCTTGGCAAGGTGGGTCAAGCTGAGCCCGACCAGCGCCCGCACGCGCCGGTCGCAGCTCAACAGGTGGGTCGCATGCGATTGTCAGATCGTCCTGGGTGCCCACCTCCGAGGATGTTCAACATAAAACCTGCAAAAAGAGACTTGACTTCGAAGTCCTATCCGCATAGTTTGGGTGACGGGGGGTAATTTGTTTGTTGGAGGATGGGTGAAGGGACCGATACCAATGTGGCCTCAAAAGGTAGAAACAATTTTATAAGCTCCTTGGTCCGCCATCTATTCTAGGCCTCCTGAAGTCGCCTTGACTCAAAAATATGATACAGAAACTGCAACTTGGATCTCTTTTTTGAAATTACTAAGTTACTAAGTTTGCTGCATGTTTTTACCCTTACATGAGCTCACTGTGAATCCTGGTTGCTTCTCTTCTGTTTCACCTGTTCTTTCTTGTATCGGATCATTGTTCGACCATTTTCCCAGCATTGGCTTTTCTGATCCAACATGTTCCGCTTTGTCGTTTAGGGAAAAAGCAGTGCTCTCTGGAGTTTGCAAAAAAACAACCTAAGAGTTTTGCCAACCCAATCCACAATTGCTGCACTTAGTACTGAGATTCACCCCGATCATCTCATTGGAAAATAGATCAGCCCAAAGGCCTCAGCTCTCCCGTTTATTGGTGCATGGTTAGCTACGACCCACTGGTGCACCAGTCACCAGTCATGCCAGGAAGCTCCACCGGCGCACCAGTCGCCTGCAGCTACGCCGCCTGTCACTGGAGTTGAGCGTCAGGTGCGAAACCTCCCCAGCGAGCGGATCACCGCTTTGGAACAGACAGAAGCAAAATGGCACCCTAGTAGCGATGGCCTCCACCCTAAACATTTGGATCATTTGGAAGCGGAAAGAGGTGGAAAGAGCATAGACAACGACAGGTCCAGAATTTAAATGACATACAGATGTGAAAACAATCAGTCAAAACTGAACCTAGATTGCTTTCTGAATGATCGAGTTTGTCGCCTGCGGTACAGATGAATCGCCGGACAGATTCATGGAAATGTGCAAAAGGTATGGATGTATTTACCCCTGCGGATTGTTCCGCCGGCCTTTTTGGCTGAGGGGAGGGGGGGAAGGGGGGGGAAGTTAGACTTAGACTTGTCAAAAATCCGCGCCGTGGGTACAATTAGACTAAAAACAAAACTACTACTAGGATAGCATACAAACCAATCACCTAAAACACGCCGCGCCCAAGGGCCGGCGGATTTCCAGGTAGACAACGTACGCTACGTTGCTACGTGCACTTTTGTTTGTGCCAATTGTAATTGAATCGATTCAGAATCAACACACTGGCAGTCGCCCATCTCAACGGGCTGCGATGGTCGCTCAACCCAAAGAAGCTCAACAGTGCTTGGATGGTCATGTACGTATTTCACATCCACTCGAATGTCACGATCCTATTTGCTCTGGAAGGGTACTTTGCGCTTGACCAACAGGCCTTTTGGCATCAAAAGCTTCAGTTGTAAAGCTCGGGTTGTGAGCCGATGTTTTGTGTTGCTCTTTTTCACGGCCATACAGTTGTTTGCGGAGGTCGCTGTTCAAGGCCGTTTCCTTATGCTGCACCTTGTAGCTGATAGCCGATAGCTACATGTATTGCAGATTCTGCTTGTGTCCGTCCTCTTTTCTGTTCTTGAACAAACTGTCCAGGACTGTTGGCCGTTCAAAGCAAAGGTCATGGAATCATATGGTATTGTATTCAAGAAGACATCACCCATGCATCACAGTTCTGCGCTTTCAACATTTTTCCGTCTCGGGATTCTCCCTGAAGCGTTATTTGCCACAGAGAGTTCTCTTCCCAACTCCGCAGGCTCAGCGGAAGGTGTCCAGGCACAACCGGGTGGTGGACGACGAAAGGACTCAGCGACTCCAGCGACTCTGCACGTCACGTTTCGGCTTCGCTTGTCTTCTACATGGACCTTCATTCTCACCTGGACAGATTGAGTAGATATGAAGAAAGAGTCCTTGTGAGTAGTTCTGAAGATTGATGTAGCAGCTCTTCTCAACTGTATCAGGAGGATCTTGTTCATCAACGTTGTGACGGGGGGGTCAATTTGCCGCCTGTGTTTGGACAGTTTGTCCGGCAGCACCCCCGGCAAAGTGGAGCTCAGTTCCAGAAGGTCTGTATATGTGCTCGTCCATGATCATGGACCCGACTTGGATGAATCACGCAAAAGCGAGTTGAAGAAATAGAGGTACCCAACCATTCCCAATCCCAGCGAAACAATCTCTCACATGGTGCGTCCTCAGTCGAACACAATGCTGTGTTGGTACATATCGCGATCCACCCGGCGGTTGGCTTTTGGATCCATTTTGGGTCGAGTCGCCAGCGTTACAGACCTGCCACTGAGCAGCTGCCTCCAGCTGCAGCGTGGCCCTCAGATCCGTGCTCCATTCAATGACGGCAACCTCTGGTGATACTTTGAAGAAAGCCAGAGTGTGTTGCAGGTGTCTACTGTCTATAGACTAATGTGACATGATGTTACTGTACAGAATCTCCGCCGGTCCACAGAATCCGCAATCGTCGGGAGGTCTAGCTCAAGCAGCTAGCTTGTTGGACAAAAGGTTTGAACATGGTGTGTACAACACAACAGAGTTTCGATGTCAAACCCAGAAGCACAGAAGCACGTGGCCACATGTAAGCAGCTTGTGGGCTGTGAGTTCTCGGAAGAATTGTGTTCATTGGGGAAAATCATACTTTTGGTTGTGCCATCATGGGCTACACTACACCAGGTTGTTGGTCTCTTTTGGTGTTTGCTGTTTACAGTCTCAGGCACAGGAAGCAAAAGAATTTGTTTCGATGCTCGTATTGAAACCATTGATGCAAAGAACTGCGTGGATGTTGTCATCATGTTTGAAGCTATAAGTTCAACAATGGAATATGGAAACTCAGAAACAAAAAGTTTGATAGGCCAACAGAGACAGAAAGGGGTAGCAAACCATGTGGCTCCCGCTCTCTCTCCACTAACTTCTGGTGCCTCCAAAAGGACAACACCTCGTTCCAAGCAATATGGATGCGTGGAGGGTTCAACCAGGATATGTTTTGTTTGAGAAAGGCGATGTCAGATGCACTTCAGCTAACCACTGACCTTGAGGATAGTGCTGCAGCCAATGCTAGTGACTATATAAATGGGATGGCCCAATCCTTTTCTCATCAAGCGATGGCCAGCAAACACTCAGCCGCCTCCATTTCTCAAAACCACCTGGGGGCAAACTGCTTACAAGATATGGGATGACATGACAGCACATGTTGGCTCATTTCTCTCAACCTGCCAGCCGGTCATCAACCACTGGTTGCTCCTGGTAGAAGTGGCTAGGCCTGTGTCCAAACCTATGGCGAAGGATTCTCCTTGCAAACCACGACGAGTGATGCATTAAGCAGTGTGTTGATCTTGTAAAATATTCTTACGATGGGGCGATGATTGAAGCTAGGCACAGAGGTTCCATAATTGATTCTTTTCTGGCGGGCGTCAACGTGCTCCCAGCTTCCAGGTCTACGGCTTTGATGGAGGGATGAAAGCCGAAAGTCGCGGCAAGGCCGTCGAATTGAGAAGGAGACCATGAGAAACGATGAGCAAGTTTAGACTCTGACTCAGCGGAAGTGGAATTGCCTGGTTTAGTAGATTTAGAACATCCAACAGAACAGACCTCTTGAACCTGATTTGAAAAGGCTAGATATTTGGATTGGAATCGCATGCTAGTACCATTTCGGTTAGTAAGTAGTAGTCGCAGGGAAGGTGCTCAAGAATGTGTGTTTGGTTTGGAAGCTTTGTTCTTGGCGGTGTTCTTTTGGTTGTATTTGTGCTATTCAGTTTTGGCAGATCTGACAGTTGGTCTGGGTTTGTGATGGGTCTACCCAGTTCAGAACGGCTTTGCACCTGGCAAAGAGTGCAGAAACCTCACTAAGAATATCTAATAATACAGTACATACATGTACATACGATGTCAAGCGGCCATCAATTGTGTGGTTAAACCAAGCACAGCACCCCTGTAAGTGCAGGCCATCCTAAGCCCTTCTCATGCCACATCGACCATATCCCCTGATTTGGGCCTTCCAAAAAATAGACCCAAAAACCAGGCAAAGTGCCGAAGTGTATGGAATCCACTCACAGGCTTTGATCCCAAAGCATTTTGTTCAAAAAAGATACACACCATCCAAGTGTAAGTGCCTTTTCCTGCAACTCGGAGGGTACTTCGGAGAGTGTTTTTTTCATTTTTTGTGAAGGTTCATGGGTTAATATGAATTGCTCGGTCTGTTGATCCATCGGGATGTTCCGCATGCTGCCAAGAACAAGAGGATGGGAGCATTTCTTCCGCCATGTCTTGCAAGGTAATTAGTAGCTATATTTGGATCATAAAAACTGATTGTCCCAGCGTTTGTGGGGTATTCTTTGAACTGGTCTTCCCTCCGCCTCTTTCCAACGGGGGCCAGAGTCGGGAACAGTTCAGGCCATAGCACTTCGACTGGAGCCCTTGAAGTCGGGGCTGCCGGAGTATGAGAAGGTCCTTGGGGAACAAAAGTGGACGCCTCAGGCAGACGGGATGCTCCTTGGGGATCAGGTACAATGGTCTAAGCTATATCACTGGGCCGCCGCCCACCAGAAACTTGGACCCGCTGGGCCTGGAACAATCGGCCCGTCATTTTCCGGGCCGCCGTGGAACGGCCCCCTAAATAGATGGAACTCATCAGTCCTTTCAGGCCAACTGCTCGCTCAAGCAACCACTTTCGACTGTTCGCCCAGGCAGACCGTCTCAATCGGGTGCAATCGGGGCAAGGCGAGCCTGACGCGGACGTTGTCAGCCTTGTGGATCATCCGCCTGCGGACGATCCGCCTGACCCCCCAGCCATTGGCGGATCGTCTGACCTCCCTCTCAGTCTATGAAGAAACAGTCCGTTTGGAAGTCAACCAGGGTCATCTCGAAGTTGATCAGTTGGAAAAGGACTGGCAAGTTAGTTGTCTTCGCAGTTCAGCCAGAGGAATGAATCTTGAACATGATCTTTAAACTGGGATGAAGAAAGCAAATCTTTGAATGCCTTCCAACGATCATAGAAGGAGCGCGCAGAAGTGTGTCTTTTCTGTGGGGGAAATGGTCATCTCACAAGTTGGCAGTGCCACAGGTTGACGTGGCGGTGCGGGATGAAGCCGTCAGCAAGAAGCATGTCTCCTTGTCCATCGTAGGCAGGCACCGAGTGTTGTTTCCAAAGATTGTTAAGAGTGATGGAGACCTCAACCGAATAGCGATGGCCTCCAACCTAGATATGGGAGGATTGGCAAATCTTCATGTATACCTCCACTGACACACAAGTTGCAACTGGTGAGACCTTCCCCGTCGCGTTTTGCCTCAGTGTTGATTCCGTAGAGGTGGCTTCTGTAGGAGGCTTGCATGGAAGGATCTCGACTGCTCCTGCAACAAGGTCTCACCAAGAAGTGTCAGTATACTGTGAGGTTTGGATCATGCATCTCGGGCTATGTAGTGTTGGCAAGATGTTCACTATCTTTGGGATAATTTGTCATATTCGTTTCTCCTTGACAGGCATCCATGGGGAACTTGCACTGTCTGTAATGGCCGGGGGCTCATCATCCGAGCAGTCGCATTTATTTGCGCTATGAGCTAGCACCTTTCACAAAAGAGATGAATGCGACGTGAATATGTTTTACATCTCAAAAGGGAGCAAAGGTTCAAGTTGATATGGCATTGCTCCTAGAGATCCACTTCCTTGTCGTTCGAAATCGTGCAATTGAGTCGAACGTGACAAGGAAGACGATATCACAGACGATGCGGGTCGCTTCCGTTTCCCCTGCGAGAGACTCGTGTGACGGCTTAGGACCACTCCACCAATGGCAGCTTTCTAAATGGACATCGGCGGGGGTCTGAGTAGCGTCGTAAGCTGCCAAAGCATTCGAAGGGGAACTTACTAAGGCGATCAAACGCTTTCTATTCAGTGGTGAAGGCTCAGCTTAACTACAGGCTAATTCAAAATGTGACAACACCCCAAGCAATGATTTGGATTCAACCTCCGCCTTTCTGCCGTTGGCCTAGGCTCCCGGAAAAGAACAAGCGCTACCGGATCCGCAACGGGGACAAGCTCACGCTCAAGGTGGTTGTTTCATGTTTTTTCTATTTGGGGGACCACTGAGACTTATCCTCGTTGTAGAACTGAGAAGCGGAAGAATCTCAAATCTGGAAGTTCCAAAGAAATGCACGAGAGCTGCATGTTGCCGCATCCCATGGCATGACAGGAGGGCTTATGGTTTTAGACATCGTTTCTGGAGGCGAAAAAAGAAAAACCGGTCCTCTAGAGCCTTTCAGAAAGCCACCATGTTTGTTGGTGCTACCATAGGCAGATCTACTGGTCTTCGTCCTGGCTTCTATCCGTCATGAATCACTGTTCACCTCCAGGCGCCGGACATTGAAGAAGACTATGGCTGGAAAGCCTCACGGTTTTGGAAGATGGTGGCTTCCCACCCACAAACAGACAAGCAAAGATAGCAAAGCGAGTACCATGCGATTACCATTGAATGTGTTTTTCGAACAACTTTAGGGCATGTTCCAGAAGAGAGTGATGCCAGCTGAACATGGCTTGGGAAGATGGTTTTGGCATCGGCCACTTTGACCAATAGCATTGCTTCCCAGCCTTTGTTCTACATTGAAGTACCTTCCTTGCGCAGGGCCAAGAGGGATGAAGCACGATGAATAGTCGCCTGAACCTGCTGTGGGTCAGCGCTACATCGTATTGATTGGAATAGGTCGGTATGTACTGGATCTCCTCCACAAAAGCGGAAGGGTTGGGAAAGCACTATGCAAGAGAATTTACATGCGAAGAAACCATCGAAAACCCCCGAGGGAAAAAGACAGTCGAATGATAACAGTTCAGCACATCGAAGTGGCTAAGGTTGACTTTGGCAATACTGTGGCATACTTCACCAGAGCCTGAGTCAAACACAGCCTCACAGACTTGCCGAGACATCGGGAAAGCGCCATGAAATTGGGGGAGACCAAACTAGCCAAGACCATCACTCAGGCAATGTTGTTTGCGTTCTCCCGGTATTCTTTCTGCGAAATTGTGTCTTTGATTCTTGAAATGAAGAAAAGCGGTAGTTCAGCGTAAGTGGCCGTTACTGGTGTCGAAGAAGACAATCTTTGATTCTTTGATGGATGTTCATTGTCATTGAATAATATTGTACAGGATTCCCGCATGTTTTCGGTTGGCTGTTGGCTGACCCATCAGCTCCGGACCCTTTGAACGAAAATAGGAATTCCTTTATTGGAATCTCAACAAGAAAAATAATATATATAAATTGATTGAATTTATTTTTGATAAATTATTCTTTTTGGGGTAATGAATGAAAAAAATAATATATGTATTTAATATATTATTAATATTATATAAATATATAATTAATTGATCGAAAATATTTATATGAATTCGATTTATAATACACATTGGGGTGCCGAATATTATGTTGTTTGATTTTTAAAATGGGATATATTTTTTTTTTTAGAATTTTATATATAATATATTAATATTTAAATTACGATTTAAAATATATATTTGAAAATTTTATAAATATTGTAAAATTAGGTTAGTTGAAGATTTTAATAGTAAAATATAAACCGAGAAAAAAAGAAAAATATAGAAATAATTGTTGTTTTTTAATGTATCGATTAAATCGGGACACTATAATAACATAATTGGGACATTATTATATCACGACGGAACATTATTAAAACATGATCGAAAAACTATTACAATATGACCGGGACATTATTAAAACGTGACCGGGATACCATCTAAACAAATAGGACCGGGACATTATTACAACATAAGTAGGTTATAATTAAAACATGATCGGAATACCATTAAAACATGACCGGGAAACTAGCATTACATGATCCGGACGCCATTAAAATATAACCGGGATATCGTCCGTCTATTAGCTCTGACGGTGATCCGACGGCGCCCGTCCGCCTACTACTTTTGCAAAACCCTATAGTATGGCTATTGGGGAATTAAATGGATGGGGAAATTGAATTGTATTCTATTTAATAGGCAAAATGGCCGTATTAATTCGATTCGTTATAGATTATAAATATTAAAATTGTATAGAATAAGAAGCGAAAATTTATAGATTTTTTGAATGAATTTTTTTGAGAAGGTGTTGGAAATAGATATATGTAATTATATATAATATTTTTATGTTTATTTTTAATTTTATAATTACGAAAGGCAATTCTTTAGGGGATATTTTGAGTTTGTTTTGCGAAGCAAATGCCGGGTCTAATAATTGATTGCTTAATTTAGCCCCCCCCCCCGAAAATTGATTTTTTTATATAGACCCCCCCCCCCCCCCCCCCCCCCCTTAAATTTTTTTTTAAACACACCCCCCCCCCCCCCCCTCCCCTCCTTTAAAATTAATTCTCTCTTGGAGAACGTTTTCGTGAGCTTCTTATAATTTTAGGATAGTTGAAATCCTCTTGAACATTTAGAAAGAGTGAATATGAAATTCTAATTACGAAAGGTATTTCCCGAGGGCATATATACCTAGAGTTTGTTTTGTGAAGCACGTTAATTCTCTCCTGGGGGGCGTCTTCGTGAGCCTCTTATGGTTTCAGGATAATTTAAATCCTATGATGTTCAAATGCTCACCGATGATCTGAGGCATGGGACAAGTTTGTTGTCCTAAGAATCTTTTTGAACATTTCGAGAGCACATGTTTGAATATTTAAAATGCATATGAATATGTATTTACGAAAGATCGCCTCCGAGGGGATAAATCACCATGTCGAATATTGCATTTTTGTTCTTGCTTCTCGCGTTCTCTTCTCTTCCCGTTGTCCTACCTTTCGTGTCTCCCTCTTCTCAAGTAGGGTAATATTTATATCGATTTTAATATTTTTTTAAATATTAATTTTAAAATCTTATTGTTTATTTGCTGGTGGGGGGTCTATTATTATTTTAAAACGTTTTAGGGTCTCCTTTTTTAAGGAGGTTAGGGAATTATTTTATAAAGAAAATCGTATGTTTATCGTTGTTTCTTTCGATATTATATGAAATAGATTTCTACAAATGATACATATTAAGAAATTGGAATGATAAGCAGAAAATATATTTTTTATATATCGATATAGGTTTTATTTATGCCATAAGAGGATTTATGATAGATTATAAATATTTTATGTCCTTTTATTTGAGTGGGTAAGGCCTTTATTATATAGAGGACATAGATGTATTACACCAAGTTGAAATAAAGATTAGTTTTTTTGTGTTGAAGTACGGAGAGGTGTTTTTTAAAACGTAGACGGATTATGTTGTTAATCCATTTGGAGTATTTTGCTTTTGATGGATATAATAGTTCTGGAAAGCAATGGTTCCTTGTGAATTTTCATATTCTAAGGAAAGGTAGGTGCAGGCAATCCCCAAGTCTCTATAAAATGATTAGGGCCCACCATCCTTTGGTCTATAATGTCAGCTCCTTGTGTGAGATATATATCAAATCTGCCACCATATTTACTTCAATTCCTAGGGAACCTTCTAAATTCTATATAAGGTGTCTTGATTATATTAGTATTTTCTTTTTAAGGACAGGTATGCGTAGGTAATTCCAAACCTCTATAAAATGATTAGGGCCCACCCCCTCTGTGGTCTATAATTTTATATTTTTGGCGTGGTGCGTAGCCCAAAATAGCCACCAAAAGCAATTCAATTGCTAGGAAACCGTCCAAATACTTTAAAAGGTGTCCTGATTGTGGTAGTCTTTTCTTTCTAAGGACAGGTAGGTGGAGGCAATTCCAATTCTCTATAGAATGATTAGGGCCCACCCCCTCTGTGGTCTATAATTTCATGTTTTTGCGCCGTGCGCACCCCAAAATAGCCACCAAAACCTATTTAACCGCTAGGGAACCTTCTACATTTTATTCTCTCCTGTTGGTATTAGTCATTTTCTGTATTTTTGCCCCTGGTAACCTATATAGGTTCCTTGTGTTTTTTTCACATTTTAAGGAAAGGTAAGTGCAGGCAACTCCAAACCTCTATAAAATAACTAGGGCCCACCCCCCCCTTTGGTCTATAATTTCATCTCTCTGTAAAACAGCCACCAAGTCTACTTCAACCCGTCAACGGCTAATATTTCCGAAAATGAATAAACACATGATTCCGCGCTCACGTTTTCAGATATATTAAAGCATCACTATGAGCCTGTTCGCTCAACATACATTGCATTAATCAAGTCCATGGCAATCTCAAATTGTCTTTATTCTTTGATATAAGGCACAAAGAATGTGTCAAGATGTTGTGCACCTGATGTCAGGTAGGTTCGTTATATGTTGTCCAGCTTTATGTTAGCCCAACTTAATTTATAGAATCTGAAGGTCAGGTCTGCCAGCTTATATCCTACACGGGTATGATTTTATGAGCAGAGTGATTAGCAAAAAGTGGGCGAAATGGACATCGATTTGACGTCAGGGATAGTTAAATTAGGATTTTTGCATGAACGTTAGGACCTTCAAATTATAGGACCTATGGGGGTTGGGAACACCGCTTTACATCTGTAATTTGGCGGTGCGGACCCCCCGGTGGAAATTGACATTGGGATATATTAAATATAAGGTTAATATTTAGTCGCAACGTATTGGGGTACCGAAAATTATTTATTTGATTTTAAAAACGAAATATATATATTTCTTTTAGAATTTTATATATAATATATCGATATTTAAATTGCGATTAGATTTTAATACTTGAAAAATTTATAAATATTAAAAATTTAAATGGATGTAGAAATTTGACCGTGTTGTATTTATTAGTCAAAATGGACGTATTAATTCGATTCGTTATATTAGAATAGAATAAAAAATAAAAATTCTATTTATAGTTAATACAAAAAATTGAAAAAAAAAATAAAAAACTATATATATATATAAAGATATAGAATAATATAAAAGAATATTAAATTATGAAAGAAATAATATACATTAATACAAATTAAATGAGGGAATTAATTATAAGTATATGGATTATTTCTTCATATTTATATAATAATAATGATATATAATATAATATTTTTTAATTGCAATTTAAATTCATGCATTCATTCATTTAGTTGCCAACGGACGAATCAAGTCCGCCCGTGTTGGGCCGCACGAACCAGGCGCGGATCTGTGGCCCATCTGCATGCGAACGTCAGGTTAGGTGCTCCGAGATCAAGGCACCAAGTTGCGCTATCATGGTCTGCGGGAGTGGTCGTCGGTATTCGTTTCGAATCTCCTGCATTGGTGCTAGCCAAAGCAGATAGATATTCTGGTAGAAAGACGGATCACGAACCAATTTTGTCGGGTTTCGGTTGTCATCCCACGGAAGGCCTGCCCCTGATTTGAATAGAATGGCCTGATAGTGGCCATTAACAAGTGTGCTACCAATATGAAGGATTCCGGTAACAATTTGGAATTCAACCCAAGTCACTGAATTGTGAGTGCACCCATCAAAAACAGGCATCTGGATGTTGTTTTGTTCCCATATGACGCCCTAATTATGTCTATGGTACAATCGTGGATGTCGTTCCAATTGCAAGCATGTCCATGAATTGGCGGTTCGAAGGCCGTTCAAAAATGGCTCTTGACGATGCCACTGCTGGATATCCGCTGTCTTCGGTGGTGGAGGTCAAGCGGGAATCCCATGCATATGAAGTCAAAATTCCACCAGGCATCAGTTTCTTTTCAAATATCTGAGCTCTCATCCAGCAGGCGAACTCTCCTGCGTCATGTTGCGCAATGGAGTCGTGGGAGGTGAACCAAACTTCAAGCAATCTATCTAGAAACGAACCATGGCATGGATTGTGAGCCTCCCCCGCATGTATAGTAAACATACTCAAAATCGGCTGCGTCCATGCACCCCAAGTGTCTAGCTCAAACGAAGTCGTCAAAAGGGTCGTCCATACCTGGGCAATCAAAATATTGTTCGGGTAGCAAGTGGATCCGGTACTCATGAGACAGGTGTTCATGAGGCCCCTCAAGATTTACGCAATCTGTGGGAGATTACTATTGCCAACGGTGATCTCTACAGAGTCGTTTACCTCATCCGCATAGGGATGAGTTGAGTAATGCCGTTTCCGGACAACTTAAGCAGGAGCGTGAGGAAGCTTTTGATTCGGCTGCAAAGCCTTGGGCCCTGGGTTCCAGGACAGTGCCATTTGAGGTCCTCCGTCAAGATGCCCTTTGCCTTCATTTTTTTTGCACGGTTGGAGACGCCATGTGTGCAGAGGTTGTATAGGTCATCTTATGCTAGTAAAAAGACTTATATACCAGGTTGCAGTAAAAAAACCACCAAGCACCAATAGGACAGAACAGACCCACCCAAACCCCAAAAAAAACGCAAACACAACAACCAAAACCAGCTTTGAGGGACTAACTGCAACCTGGTTCGCAACTTAAGCGACTGGAGTGGCCTACACTGAAACGCATTCCCCCTTTATTTGCTGCATGAAGGAGGCGCCAGGCAGAAGGCTGCGCACTATCAGGGACAACTAGATTTCTGCCCAATATGCCCATACTTGTGAGCTGCCAGTGAGCTGGCCTGGTTGCGAGCCTTGGATTTCGCACTTTCCTCAATTCCCATACACTTGCTTTCTGATAGATCATGTGTTTGCCATCATTCAAGCACTTGGACATCATCCACCACTAGTTTGGGCAATTGGGCTCTTTTCTCGAAATTGAAAAAGGGCTGCGGTAACTCAGGTTCAAGCCCCTAGGTCTTTACAAACAACTGTACATGTGAAATATCACGTATCATTGCATGGAAATTTACCCCCCCCTTAAAGGCTAGGGGCGGTCACCCGGCGGTGCTACCCGCTCGGGCAACCGTGTGCCTGCGCCCTGGCGGGGCTCCCTGCTCAAGATTCAGCGGAGGTTCCCGCACGGGCCTTCGATGCCCCATTGGCATGATCTGCTGTCTCCGGCAGTATTGGCATACAGGCATATGCCATGTAGTGCGCCGTGCCAACTCTAAACAATCCAAGAGGAGGTGAATCTCTCGCCAGGGAATTTGGCATACTAGGTGGATGCGTTCCAGATGGAACCAAAAATTCCCGATGGGATGGCGATCATAGCAGGTTTGGCAGATCATTTCTTCATCGATCTCAGCCTCTAGGACATGTTGCATGCCTTGACAGTTAGAGTACATGTGTGCTCCAGAACCGGTCCTTGTGAAGAACACGGATCGGTCATGGCGAAACGGCCTTTGCATTGGTGCTGGGGTATCGGCCGGGAGCCTTCTTTGCGATGCCCCCCCTGGGCGAAAAGGCGGGGTCGCCCGCTCTGAGCGCCCATGGTCTGGTTCTGGTTCTGGTTCTGGTGCAGGCTCTCGTGTAACCTGCGTGCGCCGTGGTCTGATGGCGTTGTACATGCACATCCAGACTACACAACCGAGCAGCACCATAATTCCTAAGATCCAAGGTAAATAGCTGCAACCTTCTGAGCCATCTTTGTGGCCTTTGACCCCGGTGATCTGACTGGCAGCAAGGGCGCCGCACAGTTTCACACTGGCCTTTGTCATTGGTGCCATTGTCTTCCACTGAGCTGGGGGATTTTCCTTCAGAGCTTTCATTGTTCCCTTCCGGGCTGCAGTTGCTCCTTTCACCTCGTGAACATTGACAAGGCCCAAAGAGGGCAGTGCCTCCTGCACCTCCGACCCGCTCTTGGGATGTTTCGTGAGGTAGTTGGAAGGATTCATAGTGCCCTTGACTTTGCGGAGCTGAAGTCGCCCTGTCTGCACTGCCCCTTGTACGTAAAACTCGCACACGTCGAGGTGCCTGAGCTTGCTCCCAGGCCCAATCCTCTTGGCGGCAGTGATTCCGGTGCTCGAGTCACTCCACAAAAGTGGCACTTCGACGGGTAGCTGAAAGTCGTCAGACGCCAAGCCTTTCAGAAAGATAGCTTCTCTAGCGGCGCGACTGCCCCGCAGCTCTGCATCCGGTGAGGATGTGGCTGGAAGACCAGGCTGCGTTTGCGTGGAGGCGGTAATCACCGCACCCCCAAGATAGCCCACATGGGCATCTGTGGATCGTCTGGTCTCTGGACATCCTGCCCAGTCATTGTCGCTGTACAACTCAAGGGCGAGGTGTTGATGGGCGTCGCCATCAAGCACGGTTGCTCGCACCAGATCTGGGTGGCTATTAAGATACCTACCCATGACCAAAGCATTTTCCCAATCGCACAGCCGCGGTTGTGCCATATGGCGAGCCAGCTCTTTGACTGCGTAGGCAATATCTCTTCTATCTGCCGAGAGATATATACCACTGCCCACAGCCAATCTGTACCGTTTGGCAAATTCATCGGCCAGTGGCTCGTTCTCATCCAAGTTGAGCTTACGCGATGGACCGCCGATTTCTCCTTTGGCTGAATGTCCAGTGCGGTCAAAATGTTCTTTGCGTGCTTTGGATCTGGCGCGGTGAGGATCGCGCCCTCCAACCGGGTTTTCACACGTCCCAGCACTTCCACTGCTACCCCTTCGGCCTCAAGAGGTCCTGCCTGAATTTCACAGTGCTTGGGCAGCTCCACGTCAATGAGTCGGTTCAAGGCGCTAGCCGGGCCCTGAGCACCGAACATCATCGACGTGGTGGACCAAGGTCACTTTGCTGCTGCTGCAGTGGTATGCGCATGGATCGTGCTTGCCCCGAACAAAACAAAAGGTCGGCTTCATCTTCTCAACCAAGATCTCTTCGAGCTCGTCCCTGCATACTGAACCCGCCGTGCGACGACCATACAGGTTGCCGTCAAGGCGGAACATATAGGCCGGGAAGCTTTTTAATCTTCGAGCTACTTCGTGAGGCGGAAAGGTATCCCGCACCCGTTCCTCGAATATTGGCCTCCATTCTTCTGGGGCTCGCATGTAGCAAGGATTGCCTTCTTGGGCGCCTCGGTCTCGACCAATGAGAAATGCAGCCACGATGTCGAAGGTCCTCGTAGCATGACTGTGGAACAGCGCCGACACTTCCAGGAGGCTATGTGACTCCGGCGTTGGTGTTGGAACAAACACACGCAACTGCTCTTCCTCGGCCTCGGAGTAGTTCCGCTTCACATCTGCACAAGTGAAGCGGCTCTTATAAACGCCCTCCTTGCATTTGTCGACCCACTTGAAATGGAAAATCTTGCTTCCGGGCGGCACATCCCTTTTGTGGACAGGCTCAAAGGCTGAGCGTTGCCATAGCTTCCTGAGTTGCGCGAGCCGTGCCTCAGCCACTTGCATCGGATCCGAAATTGAATCCAACCAAGTGCAAACACTGGCCAACCTCTGCAAGGCATGAGGGTTTTGGCTTTCCTCGGCGTTGGCCCATGCCTCGATGGCCTGCCATGTCTCCTCAACTGCAATTTGGCCGACTCTAGGCTTCTTGGCGGGCGTTGCTTAGCTTGCTTCGGCGGGCGAGCTTCCTTGGCGTCCGCTCCTGCCGCTGGACTCCATTTTGGAGACAGCACGTCGCTGCCGCCAAGGCCGGTTGGCATCGCAGGGGTAGTTGGTAAGGCTGCCATGGCCGAGCTCCAACCATGGCCCTCGAACTGCCACAGGAGACGCTTCTTCCGCGTCTACCGCAGGCTCGCTCGCGCAGATAACCGGAAAGTGTGACATTGACTTGAACTAGAGGAAAAGCTCCAAACATCAAAGCTTTTTAAAAATCGATACACTGCAGTCACGTACATGGACCATTTGTCACAAAAAAATCATTAAATCATTAATTAATTAAGTTGGTCTTTTTTTATAAAAAAAAATATTAATTGAAAGATCAAACTTAACGAATTAACGATTTAACGATTTTTTTGCGCTATCTATTTTGGCACGTTTTTGTTTTCATTACTGTGGCTTGCTGGCAATTGCTGGCAAACAACTAAGCTGTAACCAGAAGCCATCGACAAAGGAAAAAATAGAGGCCGAGCCAACTCCAGCGAGCATTGAATGAAAGAAAACAAACCTTTTGCAGACACTCCTGGGGAACAGAATTGGTCCTCAGTTTTCACGCCCATTTCAGAGTCCCACTCTTTCATCTAGCATTCTGCCACCTCCGGCCCATGGTTCCACCTGCGCAGCAGCAAAACACGCTCTCGACGACGCAAAGTAGTGCCCAGTTCCCTGCCCCCAGTTCCCAGTTCCAGTTCCCTGTCCCCAGTTCCCTGTCCCCAGTTCCCTGTCCCAAGTTCCCTGTCCCCAGTTTGCTGCACCCAGTTCCCTACCAGTTCCCTTTTTTTTGGCACGGGTACGGGCGCTGTGTGTGCCGAGAGGCACAAGTCACCTTGAATGAATTCAGAGTAGGATGAGAAGACACGAGCCAGAACCAAAAAGGCCCAGCAACAAACAACCAAACACCAACCAAAACAGCAACAACCCACACAACAGGAGCAGGCTCATATCCTCCCGAGATGTGAAACAAAATGGTGAAGATCCGGAGATCTAACACGAGAGTGAAACGGGGCAATGAATTCTACATTCAGTTTTTTTCCACGAGTACGGACGCCGTGTGGGCGGAGTGCCCAGGTCATCATTGAAGGGGAAGGAAACACTACATGATGAGGGGGAAAAGAACACAAGCAACCCCAAAACCAAACAAAAGCCCACCAAACAAAAAACAAAAACCAGGAAACCAAAACACCACCAAGGGCCAGAGGCCGGTTCCCCCTCATCTATAAGTGTTTCCTCTGTACGAGGGTGAGACAATTGAAATAGCAGAACCTAACGGTGTCCCAACTATGGGCCTGAATTCACTGCAAAAGTCGGTCGGCAAGGTCAGCGCAAGAGCGGAGTGCAGCGGAGCCAATCAAAGGGGCTTCGCCCCACCCACAAAACTGTGACCAGGAGGGCCACTGCATCGTGTGGCGAAAGTGATAGTAGGGTGCTTTGCAGGAGCTGCATTGTGTTTGTTGTCAGCCGGTCTGATCCTTGCCCAGGGATTCAGTTGTTGCTCTGCCAAAAATGCCGTGGAAAAGGCCCATCTCGTTGCACAACCCCTTCAACTGATTGCACGAACGAGACGAGAGGCATATTGATGGTCAGACAGTGGAGGCAGAGGCAAACGAATGGAGCTTGCTGACGAGGGTGATGCCATCCCCCCCGAAGGGAGGTCACTTTTGCACCCCTCGGCATTCAAGGAGTGCCAAAGCGGTACTCTCTGTTCCAGAAAGAAAGAGAGGTGCTAAAATGCGAGCATTCTCCTGTTGCACGCAAGGCTTGTGTGAAACCAATGAAACGTGGACCTATCCTAGCATGGTACTTGGCAATGAATTCTACATTCAGGCTGCACTCAGTTCCATCATCAAGCCCTCTCGACATAGAGGACACATCAAGGCGAAACAATCCAGGAAGTAGTAAGATGCGTGCATGCCGACCCACAAAAGCCACTGCCTCCATCCCGAGTCGTAAGAGGCATGACTCTATGACTCTATGGTATCTCTGGTCAAACATAAGAACTTGAAAAAGGGCCGAAGATCACAAGAGGCCTGCAGCGGGCAGTGGCATGTAGAGATGTGGCTACGAGACCAACCACCTCCCCCCGGGGGAGGTGATGAGGGCGTGCACCCAGAAAGCAGTTCCAAAAACCAGGACAATCGGAACCTGCTGTGGTTGTCACCAGGAAGCTTTGTCAGTGCATATCGGGGAGAGAGCAGGCTCCACCCTGCGCGGGGCATGGCCACCCTTAGTCCAGAGGTCAGCCAGTGCGCCACTGCAGCGCTTTCTGTTTGGACGCTGCCTTGCTCAAAGTTTCCCAGCGCTGTTGCTAGCCCAGTGTAGCGTGTGACAAACCGCCCATACTCTTGCGCAAAGGTACAGGTGGGTTCTGCGACAATGTCTTCTTCCTCAGTTGCTTCTTCTGCTGCTTCTGCTTCCGGCAGTTCGGCTGCTCCTACTGGCACCGGCTGTGCATACCTGGGCGACCGCTCCCCAGGCGGTAGCAGCTCCTCGTCGGCAGCCCGTCCGCCCAACCAAGCAGCCTCCCCCACCGCCTCCTCCGCACTGGTGGTGGCAGTTGTTTTGTTTGTGTTTTGGGTTGTTTTGTGGGCGTTTTGGTTTGGTTCCTTTGCTCTCTTTGGTCAGGCTCATTTCCTCACACTCCTCATGCGAATTCGACACGGTGACTTGCTGAAAGGGGTGGCCTTAGCCATCCTTTTTACTTTGCTGTAAGTGCTCTTGCAACCGCTATCCAGTTGCTGCTACAATTTTCTGGCTCAAAGCAGCTAAGTGGCATGCTAGAACTGCCGTCCACAGCGAAGATGCCGACGGAGCAAGATCAGTATGATGTCTGCATCGACCTTCTACAAAGTCTTTGCGGAGCGCTGCTCGTTACAATGGGTGTACGCAGCTGAAGGAGTTGCTTATCGGTTTAGTGACGACACTAAGTTTGGGGAATTTACCCTGCGAGAGCTTCACTCCCCAGGCGGGAGTTTGCCACAAACTGCTGCCAGTGACTTAGCACTTGGCTGTCTCAGCTCCACAGGAATTACGACGCTTACGCTCACCCAGGGTTTTTCGGTCATGGGTGCACATGCTTGTGACAGCTGCCACCTACTCAAGAAAGTTGACCTCTCCAACACGAAAGTTGAAGAAATCCAAGAATTCACGTTCGCGCACTGCACTAGCCTCAGGGAAGTCAGCTTCCCGCCGACTCTTCATACCATTCGGGTCAAGGCCTTCATGAACTGCGCAGCTCTGTCAGAACTTGCCACACCGCCCTCACTAAAGTACATAGGGAGTAGGGCTTTCTTGGACTGCACAGCCCTTAGGAGACTCGTCAAACTACCAGGTCGGCACAAATGGCGAGGGGTTTATGCAGAAGAAAATGCTTTTTGCTATCTGTCCAGAGATGAGATGGCCGCCTTGGTTACACATGATCCCGGACATGGGATACATCTCTGGTCTTGGATGAAGTGATCCTTTCCTGACAACAAATTACGCGAATTAATTATGAATGACTGCCCGTGCAGTTGTTCCCCCTTATGGACCAATAGCGGTTGCTGCTGGTTGTCACTGTCAATAATGGAGGACCCACCATGTCCGTAGTCTGCCTTTGGCTCAACGATAAGGGAGCGCTGCTGCACAGGGTGGTGCCTGCCATGCTTGCTGACCACGTGTCTGTGTCTACCTCACAGTGGAGCGAAGAAAGGTTAATGGTCATCCATCTGATCTTGACCACGCTGGCGGGAGAGGAAGCCCAGCTAATTGAACTCCAAGAATATGACCGTCTTCAGGAATTTGAAAATGCGGTGCTGGAACAACTTCCCGAACTAGGCACAAGCAGCATCTTTTGTTGCGAGCTGGACTTTGTCTGCCGCAATTCGCAACAGAAGTTAGTCGATCCCATCTGGCAAACCCTGCGGGACTGTAATTGCTTTACGGTCGTCGTGAGCCCCTGTGCAGAGAAAGCTGAACATAAGGGACAAATGCAAGGAGAAACCAAAGCCCTTCGAGTCCCCTTCCATGCCAGTGACAGAATATTCCCACAAGCTTTCTCGCATCTTGCAAGGGTACGGCATGTGCAAGTTGATGCAGGTTATCGGATCTAGGGGAGGGCGCGTGGCACAATTGCCAACATCTCCAGATTGTGCATCTAGACAGCACAGTTATTAGCCTGCAAACGCGAGTCTTTAGCCGCTGTTATGCACTGCGCAGAATCCTCGCCCCAGGTTGTAGAGAAAGCACAGGTATTTGAAGAGCGCGTTGCCTTGCTACAAGTTGGAATCAATAACGACACTGTTAACCAGCTTGCGCCGCAGGCAGAGCTGAGGCCTCGAGCTTTCCACGAGCGCGGACGCCGTGTGGGCGGAGTGCCCAGGTCATCATTGAAAGGAGGGGGAAAAGAACACAAGCGACCCAAAACAAGCAAAAACCCACCAAACAAAAACAAAAACCAGAAACCAAAAACCACCACGGCCAGAGGCCGATTCCCCCTCATCTAAGCGCGTTTCCTCTGTACGAGGGTGAGACATGTGAAAACGACAAAAGCTGACTGTTAACTAACTAAGGGCCTGAATTCACTACGAAAGTCGGTCGGCATGGTCAGCGCAAGAGCGGAGTGCAGCGGAGCCTATCAAAGGGGCCTCGCCCCACCCACCAAGTTGTGACCAAGGGGCCACTGCATCTAGTGGCAAAAGCGATGTTCAGGTGCTTTGCATGACCTGCATTGTTTATTGTCAGCCAGTCTGATCCTTGCCCAGGGGAGTCAGTTGCTGCTCTGCCTGGCAAGCCATGGAAAAGGCCCATCTCATTGCACAACCCCTTCAACTGATTGCACAAAAGAGACGAGAGGCATGTCGATTGTGAGGCAGTGGAGGCAGAGACAACGAAAGAGGTTTGCTGACGATGGTGATTCCATCCCCCCCGAAGGGAGGTCACCTTTGCACCCCTTAGCATTCAAGGAGTGCCATTGTGGTACTCTCTGTTTCAAAAAGAGAGAGCGGCACTGAGATGCAAAAAGTCTCCTGTTGCGTGCAAGGCCCGGGTGAAACCAGTGAAACGTGGACCTATCCTAGCATGGTACTTGTGCCTC